CTGTTTGAAGAAAGTGAAGGAGGAGACATTTTTCTCCCTCCTGTAATTCTAGAACCCAGGGTCATTGCATGGAGACTCAGGAGAGGTAAAAGAAAGTTCTTCAGACAACACAAAGTTAAACCATGGAATTCACTTCCACAAGATACAGTCATGGCCACAAATGTGGAGGGAATTGGATGAGTTTATGGAGGCTAAGGCTATCGATAGCTACTAGTCTGATTGGCTTTAGGCTACCTCGAGCAGCAGAGGAAGGGTTTCTGAGTACAGCAGCTGCTGGGGAACATGGCTTTTGCATTCATGCCCTGCTCGTGGGTTCCTCGGTGCAGGTTGGCCACCATGTGAACATAATACAGGGCCTGATGGATCCCTGGCTCTTCTTATGTTCTCAGACATGTTTGCTCTAGACCAGGGGTCCTCGAACCACCAGGGGGCCAGTTGAAAGCTGCTGGTGCTGGCCGCAGGCCGGAAAGGTGCTGCTGGAGGTGCCTGCAGTGCGCGCAGGGGCGGGGGTGGGGCGCGCAGGCGCAGGGGCGGGGTGCACGGCGAGGCGAGGCGAGGCGTGGGCGGGTGTGCGAGGGGAGACAGGCGCGGGCAGGGGCGGGCAGGGGCGGGCATGCGCCGCGAGGCGGGCGCACGAGGCAGTGGCTCGCTCGCTTGGAGATCGTTTTCTCCGAGCGAGCAAACCGCTGCCTTCCCACGCACGGAGCGAGATGGGCAGTGGTGGGCGCATGTGTGGGTGCAGGAGGGCACACACGCTGGGGTCCAAATGGGCATGGCAGGCACGGATCCAGCCCCCGGGCCATAGTTTGAGGACCCATCCTCTAAACCATGACTCTATGGGATGCCACAAGATTCTTGTTCTTCTTCCATGCGTTTAACTGCTTGACATGAAACCTCTAGTGATGTCATCTAGGGATTTAGAGCAAGGTGCTCTCAGTAGCTTGGGACAGGGAACTTCATTTATCCTGTGCAAAGAACTGAGGTGCGGTCATGCAAACACTAAGAACTAAGGGCTACTTCCAGATGGACTTCTTTGGTGCCGTTACTTTGCCTTGTTCTACATCCACACCTCATTGCCTTCCACTCATAACCCTCCTGTGTTTTCCTACCATCCCATTACTTTATACTGCAGAAACCCCATTAAAACCAAGAGGGTGGAATAGGTGCACAATGCGAGCACTAGGAGTCCTTTACCTGAAAGCCCCCAGGTGCCTGGAGTCAGTAGTGGAATGGATAAGGGCAAAGGCTTAACCCAGTCAGTGCAGATAAGCGTTCCAGTGAAACAGATCCAGGGTCATAGCAAAAAAGAGGTTTGCTACATGTGGCTCTTCGTCTCTATACCCATTTTCAGTTTCATCACAGCACTGTGATCTGAGCTATAAGCCACAAGCTGTTCCCTTCCTGCTTTTTTGCTGCACAAACTCTAGGTGAAGCTAGGAGTACCTTTTTCTCTGTTGTCATGTAATACCTGATTTTCTCCATTGTTTAAAAAAATGGGAAAGTGCTTTGCAAAAAAACAGAAGAGAAACTGAAGGATCATCGCATCATCTAAAGCGCCTGTAAACAGCCATGAGATATGAATCCTGCATGCACAATAAATGTGTCATGTAGAAAAAGCCCCACAGGTTCTCTTAGCGCTGGGATTTTCAAGTTGGTGCCTACCGTGAGTAATCACACCTCTCTCGGCAACCCCCAGGTTGTCTGCCTCTGTAATTCTTTTAATTAAAAAAGAAAACTGGAGGGACTGAAAAGCTCTCCAAAATGAAGGGGGCTTCTAGTGCCATCTTTATCTCTAAGATGCATGTGGGTCCCATGTAGACTCCACACACTCACCCACAACACAAGTGCAGATCCAGCTAGAACACATTTTCTCCTTGAATGGGAAAAGCCCCTTCCTGGGCACGGAAGTTTTCTAGCACACCATCTTCCTCATTTAAATCATGCTCCTCCCAGCAACCATACTTTGGCTGCAACCAGCAGAAGCATCACAGACTGTGGAGACATGTGCTCTGTTGTAACTAAGCTGCATGCATGCAACTGAAATAACATGCTTCCGGTTTATTCTGCCCTCCACTTCCTCATTGCCCATGTCAGATTTTAGATTCTAAGCTTCTCAGGGTAGCAAATTACCCTTGGTAAAGTACCATGTCCACTGATGGGACCATAAGCAGATATGCTACACACAGGGCAGTCAGATCAATACACTTGACTTTCAAAATATTACAAAAAGAAATCAACCACTGAATATTTCATCCTTATATACCAACTGGGAACCTAAAAAGCACCAACTTTTATTTCTGAGCCAATGTTTTTGTTTTTCTTAATTACAAAGTATGTAGTTGTCTCCCCCTACTGGAAAAGAATAGGTACTGTCATAAAAGCTAAATGCTCAAAAAAGAAAACAAGTTTATTTCTGGTTTCCTTAACAATTATCACTAAGTCGAAATAGGAACATGGCTTTAAGTGCATTTTAAAAATACAGGCCTAAAGTGAACAGGCATCCAGCTGTCCCTAGTTGCATATTGCAATGAAGTGAGTAATAGTTGGAGATGGGGCAAAACCAAAAAATTGGTCTCCATGTTAGGAGGACGTGAGAAGTTATGGGAGAGAAACCAGCACAGCATTGCAGCAATGTGATCTGGAACCAGGTCAAAACACAAGCACAAAATAGAAAGGTCTCGATCTATCTCCATCCAAAGGTTTTTAAGTTGCCAGAATGAGGGGTAAAGTATTTGGGGGGCAGTTTCCTAGTAAGTGAGCTAGGTAATATAGTTTGGCACAAAGCCTACTCACATGTTTTTACGTCTGCTCCAAGAATGTACACCTAACCTAGGTAAGTGTGGATGTGACAAACAGGTGTTCAAACATATTTGTTACTATATACACTTGTCAGAGAGAGAGAATTGAGAGAGCGGTAAAACTTCATGTGGCAACCCCGTTTGTTGCATAATGTGTGAACTTTCCTGAGATAAGCAAGTGAAGCAAAAATTCTTAAGACCATAAGAACAAAAAGAGCCTTCCTGGATCAGACCAATTCCAAAATTGGGTGACCAATTTTGTCACCCAACTCCTAGGTGACAAATCGGAAGACTCAATGGGAAATCCACAAGCAACAGCACCCTCCTAACTATGGATCCCCAGCAAGACATGCTACCTCAGATACTGGAAATATCATCACACCTAGTAAGCTTCTGAAAACTATTTATGTTGGCAGACTTAACTACACCTGGTGGTAGTAAATTGCATAGTTTAAACTACGCACTGTGTGGAGTGTTTTTAGCTGTTCTTCATCCTTTCCATTTCACCCACAGATCATCTTATTTGCACTTTTCTGAATTGTTTCAGCTCTACAGTATGCTTTTGAGCTATGATGTCCAGAGTGCCCTCAGGAATTGAATAAAGGCATTATGGCATCAGCTATTGCATTGTTTATCCCTTTCCTGATGAGCTGCAGTCTGAAATTACCCTCTCCTTTTTTACAAGAGCTACACACTGGGTCAGTTTTTTTCCTTTTTTTTCTTCAAGCTATCTGCCATAACCCCAATATGCCTTTCCCAGTCAGTTCCTACCAGTGTGAAGTTACATTGTTTTGGCTCAGTCTGCATCACTTTACTCATTTATATTGAAGCGTATTTGCCACATTAATGCCATACACCTATGCCTTTGACTATAGGCTTGTACCTAGGGAATGAAAAATACTCATAGGAACACAAGATAATTTTACCTGTAACACCAGATAAATTTTGAACAGATTTTAAAACAATGCATGCTTACATAGTTTGCAGACCCCTCTGTTCACATTCCTTCATTCCAAAAACTTCAATTTATTCTTATTTCCTGTTCTTAACTAGTTACTTAAGGCCTCTCTTCTTATCTACAGGCATACTAACATTCTCAAAGAACTCTAGTAGGGCAAGATTTACATTTGTAGAACAAGAAGTACTCTTCTCTGTGTTTGATAGAAGAGAGTAATTATTGCTGCGTAAGAGTCAACAAGCTATGCAGAATTTGTCATTCACCACATCCCATCCTTTGACAATTGGGTTCACATATGACAAGCCATGATCAGTGTTATATTCCGTGAACCCAGCCATGTTAAACCATTGTTTGTGGTTAAAAAACATGATTTACTAATATAGCTGATTACACACAGCACAAAACCCCACAGTTCAATGACAACCCACACTCAGCCCAGAGTATGTTGTGTGAACACAGCCATTCTCAGCAAGCATAATAGTGTCTTGACAACTACTTAGCATCTCCAAACTGAGAAACATTTATTCAGGATCTCTGCCGCCAGATGCCTCTGGGAAATTTCCGAGACTTCCAGAAGGGACATAAAGAGTTGCAGAGGAAAATATTCCCTGACCTTCCATCCTTGCCAACAAGTGCAGTGGGAGCACACAAGAAAGCACCCACCTCATAAGCAGATGAATGGAAACTCTACCACAAATTGGGTTTTAATCCAGTCCAGGGAAAAATAGGAGGGTCATACTCCTCATCTATTTTTAATGTATGTATGTTGCTAAGACTCTTATTAAATGACTAAGAAATTATGAAGTTTTAACAATATTGACAATTTTCAACATTAAAGGGTAACTAAAATTACTGTATAAACCAGAATCTGCTCAGTCTTCAGTTCTCTCATCACCTCACATAAAATACACCCCAAATAAAAAACACACAAAGAGCCACCTTTTAACCTGTTACCCAAAGCAATCTTTTCATGGTTTACTTGTTTAATCTGGTCAAAGATAAGCAATTTGCTTTCTGTGCTGTTTTTTACGAACTCTTTTTTATTGTTATGCTGCTGTAAACAGCAAGTTACTTGAAATAATAACATTCTTACACTGTAGAGGAGCAGTATTGTTAAAATAACCTCAAACCATCATGCATTCTCATCTGGCACACCCACCCCATCTGGATAGCACATGCTGCTACTTAAACTTCCAACAACTGTATATAAAGAATGGTTTGTTTTAAATGAAACCATTTTCACATTTAGGGCATTTTCAAATTTTATTTGCAACTATTGCAATTACAAAGAAATATAACAATGTAAGTTTGCATTTAAAGTGACAATCCTCTATTTCATAAACAAGGTCACAAATTAAGTGTGAGCAGCTCATTTGGCCTTTGGGTAGCTTCCATTATATGGAAACTTTCCTGTATGACAAGCTTGTCACAATGTTTTACAGTATTTCAGTCTTGTAGTTCCTCCATATTTAGTGATAAAAACTTAGTACATGATTGACAATTGGATGTATTTCTATAGCTTCTAACCACATCAATAGTTATTACTTTTCCATGTGGGAAGAAAGAGTGGAATTTTCTGTGAGATGTTGCTTATCCTTCACAAAAAACCCTAGATATACACGTAAAAATCAAAAGCAATTATTTATGTTGGGAATGAAGCCTGGTTTTCCATGCTAATATCCCTATTCAGCCCTCAGTATAGAGGAAAAATGCACTATTACAATGCAAAGTTTTATCAAATTTAGTCCAGTTTATTTTTGAATTATTCTCAATAAATACAAAAAACGTATCTTAGTGTGTCTGTGTGTCTGACTTAAAGGCTTCTGATAGGCTAAGGTAGATTAAAAGCCAACATTTCAGCTCTGATAGTTTTACCTTTAGTAAAAGGTATTATGTATTAAACTATCACTTTGTGTAAGATATGGTCCCACAATCATTTTTCACATAGAGTTTCATCAAAAGAAAAAGGTTATGTGTGATTTGCTGATACTTGATGCCTAAACGTATTTTAAGTCATTAAGAAATCAAGGAAAACTTATAGCCTGCATGAAAATCTGAGGCAAAAGTTCCCCTCCCCTTAAGATAGTCTCAAAAGATCAACCCTCATGACAATATGGAATGTACCCAACTAAGGGCAGGATGCCAATATCTGAACTCCAAAGCAAACAAAATAGAAGGTTTAAAGCTATGAATAGTCTCAGTTTCAGTCATGTTCATAATATCACTGCAAAAGATCTTTTGGACAGAAACTTGAGATGTTAATTTCAAGGAAGTTATAAAACAATCCTAATATGAAACATTGCTGTAAAGATTGCTTTTATTTAATAATAGTACCTCTTAATATATTGGACCAAAAGTTGATCAGACAACATAGCCCACACTCCTGGACATTTAGAATAAAAAAGCTTTTATTTTCAGTTGGAATAAATGCACTGTCCTGTACTTAAAGGCTGTAAAGAGCCATAAGCATCACCCAGGTTTTACCAACTGATCAACAGACCTCCACTGGGAAGTTACATAAAGCACTCATAATTGGTAAAGAGAAACTAAAAAAATTCCGTCTTCAGTATTTCTGCAGTGTTGAGTTTATCCTTTCCCAGGTCAAATATTTGTAGAGATGTCCCATGTAACACAGTTTGTTCATAGTACTGTTTAATCATCTTCTTCCTCCTCTTCCTCCTCTTCCTCAAAACTGTCTTCAAAACCTTCACTGTCTTCCTGGTCCTCATCTCCTTCTATTGCTGTATCCCACTGTGGATGATTTTCTGGCACTGGTTTAGCTTCGTGAACTTCCAGCTACAAAAAGCATTTAGGGAATTGTCCAGAAAAGGATGGAGGAGAGTGAGAACAGAGATATGAATTATTTTCAGGATGTTATCAATGTTTGTGCTGCACAGAACTATGAACTAACTCAAGGTTATTCCAAGGTCAAATACAGACTGTACCGCATTTTGCATACACAGTACACATCATGATAAACAATTTGCAAGGAAAAATGTAGCACTAGGGAATCCAAAAAAGGCAATGCAATCTCATTACAAACTCAAGGTCTTTTAAGAAGCTGTATCTGCAGAAGAAGTCAATGAAACTTTGCTCATTAGAGTGGATTGCACTATTATACATTTCAATAAAAATATTACTACTGGGAAAACTGGAGGACAAAAAATAAGAAAAACATACTCTTAACAGTTGTGAGGCTTTTTTATATTTCTGGATTGCATGCTGAAGGTGTCCCATAGTAAGTGATATTATTAACCCTGGGTTTTATGCATGGGTTCATCAGTCTCCCAACTCAGTCCACACTTCCTAGAATTGCATACAATGCCAACAAAATGAGCTGGTTTGCAAGTCGAGCTGCAATTCCTGCATTGTTTATCATAGGAATTGTCAAGAACAAATGAAGTGATGCGTGTAACTGTTGTCCTGTGCTCTTATCATTTTCGCTTTCTCTTAACAAGCCAAGAAGATTCCATTCCTGGGCAGTTTCATGACATGGGAATGGTTGTCTGGGAATTAAGCAACCCAAAATTAACCCCAGCAACAAACCATGGGCAAATGTTTGCCCATTGCTAGAAATCAACTACCAGCAGAAACAATGAGGACACAGAAAGCACATGTTGCTTTACTTGCTAGCAACAATTCCTGGGTTAAACAAGCTAGGAACAGAAGCAGGATGGAAAACCTGGTCAAAGAGTTAAAAAGAGAAATGACATGTAACTTGAGTTTTTATTCCTTCATTAGATAGCAAAGCTTCTACTTAGGCTGTTCCACTCCAGTTGTTCCATATGCATAAACCAAGGATCACAAGAATTACAATTAATGTGATGCGGGGTGTCAAATGCCTTCAGTAATATTGTTGTATTTTTGTTGCCTTTACTTTTAACTTTATTTCTAAAATTCCATGGGTAACAGACAGAAATAAGTATTTTCATCTTCTTGTGTGATCTTTTGGAACTTGGCCAACGAGAAAAAGGAATAACCATTCTGGCAGATATACACACAGAAGGGTAATATCATAAGAAACTGAGGAATATGTGAGGCAAATCAATAAAGAGCTGCCCTTTCCAGTCAGGCAGAACTTGCATATGCAGAAAATATCTCTTCTTCCTCAGAAATGTTTAGTAAAAAACAGAAGAAAACCACTGCACTACATAGCCTAGGATCTCCATCTCTTACAGATAACACCTTTCAAGATCAACTCTCTCCACACCATATTCACTATATGGTGGAATGAGTTTACTCCAAGTCCCTTTTCTAATGGGTCTGGAATGAGCTTACTGAATACATAAATAAACAAATAAAGTCAGTCTAATGTTGATGCCTAACTACAGCTTTACTTTTGGATTGTCAGCTGCTGTTTTCCTTTAGTGCTTTGATAAGCATGAAATGTCAAATAAAGTATACATGTTTAAACTATGAAAAAGTAAGATTTTAAATCCAGCCCTCAGGCTTCAGCAAAACTATAGTTGCTAAAATATAAGCATTCCTTGAACAAAGAGGAAACCCAACACGAACAAGCATAAGAACTGGGTTCAAGACTATATGTCAACTCAAATCTACATAACAATAAGCAATAACTTTCAACATCTGCAAGTTATTTGAACAATGCCCATACAAGTATTAGAATGCCTACCTTCAGTGGTTTAATCTGGTCCAAACCCATGTATGAATCTGATCTTAAATAAACTGTGTATTGGTAATTTCCAGGTTTGCCAGGTGCAGGAAACTTTAGTTCTACCTAGAAACACAATTCAGCCATAGCTCAAGTTATAAGTGGGCATTTGCAAGCAGAACTATTCTGCATTTGCAAGCAGAACTATTTCTGCATTTGCAAGCAGAAACAGATTCAGTAAAATAAATAACCACAAGACTAGACATGGCTAGATGCCAATTTCCTTCTTTAATACTCCAGATTCAATGAGTACCATATACTGAGCAAAGAGTTAAAGTTTCAAAATATATGGATGACTGGAAAATAGCTATTTCCTCTCTGGAATTTTAAAAAAAGTATTTTCAGAAAAGCTTAAATACTGTAGTATAGACTACCAATCTTTTTTATATCCAATCAGCTGTAATCTTATTAACCAAGATCTGTTATTGAGATTGTCCTACTAAGTGCACTAATATTCCTACTTCATACTAACACTGCATCTTCCGCCTTACATGCCCGTATTGTTCAAGTCTGCCCAGTTGCAAAAAGCTAGTTTGTTTCCTCCCTCCCTGCACCGCCCCCAAGTTGCTCCAGAGGGTTGTGGGCCTTGGGGTACAAGTGGGGACCACAGGGCACAGGAAAGGACAGGGAAGTTTGTTAACATGACAATGGATCCAGTCAGCTGTTTTTACCACCCCACCTAAAATATTTTCATATATCGAGGGAAGTTAGTATCTTCTTCTAAAGCAGCAGCATGGATGCCCATGCTACCACAAAACTCTGAACTGTAGGCATTATTTTTATTAATGATTTGTGTAAATTTTAACAGGTATAGCTGCTTTTCTTTTAGGAAAAAAAGAGACTTTCAGTTGCTGGCACTGGTTTCTATTGACATGTCAACATTAAGTTTTGATTGAGGTTTTGAAGCAGCAAAAAGACTCTTAACTATGTTTACTAGGATATAGAAAATACACTGCTACAACAGCATTTTTAAAAAACAAGATACTTTACCTCTTCACGATCTTTTAGTGTACACACATGATATGGCATAGATATCAGGGTTTGTTCCTTCCTATCTGCTATATATAGCCACCACCACTCTTGTTTTTCCTATTTAGGAAAGAAAGAGAATCAACACTCTAAATTATCAGAAATCATTACCTGAGTCTCAAACAGCAAATTGGATTTGCATGTTTCCAATTATTAAATTTTGCATCCAGCAGGAGCTGCAAGTGGTTGGCTGATGACTTTTTTTGGCTTTGTCATCGTTGCACTGCATTGCCCTAAAGTCCAGGGAGTCAAGCTTTACCTTCAAGGTACTCAAAAATACAAGCTGAAGGAAGCCTCAAGCTTGTATCAAATAAAAGAATATGGGGAAGTGTGAATACTCTATAGGAATAAAGATGTATCTAGGTAACCAGTACCCTCATGGTCCAACCAGAATGTTTTGGACTTCAGTGCTCATCAGCCCCAACCTGCATAGACAATGAAGGAGGGAAATGTAGTCCAAAGGCTTTGTTCTACAGAGTCACAAGAATGCATTCACTTTTTTTTTTTTAAAGAACACAAGAAAGCTTATTATTAAAATAGGCTGACATTTTTACATCTCTTCAAGGAAGATACCTGCTAGAAGTTCATCTCTCTGCTTTCTACCTAATAGAGCTGCCTCTTCTTCATTTTATGTTTTACAACTTACCCAGGATCCAGTGCTATGGTTTGGAAGGAACACTGTTAGAAAGCCCATCTTGGAAGGGAAGAAGTGGTAAATCTGACTTGCAACTGTACCACTTTGTTTATGCTATGGGTAGCAATTCACAATATGGACTGGGCCTCCAAATATACCAAAACAAAAATTCTTACTTCTAGAAAATATATATCAGGAAGAAATGTTCTAAGCTAGCATTTTCTTTATTATGATAGCTTTTTAAGAACAGAATTCATTTGTTCTGTCACGTGAGAGCCTCCACCTGCAATGTGAAGTGGTATGTTGAACACATTCGATTTTCAACTCATGTGTTCCTTGGCAGAGTGAGACCTAAATTTCTTAGAATAAATAAAAGGAGTGTACAGAGAACATTTCATCCAACAGAGTAAACCCTGGGGCAGGGGTGGGCAACATGTGGATGCCACTGATATGCTACTGTCACAGCAAATATAAATAAATAAAATCATGTTAAGTGGTTCCAGAATGCTAAATTATGATCTACTTTGTACTCTGTACTGCTAAAACAGGCACATTTTTTGTTATTTTTTCCCTATTATCCTGTGGTGTCTGGCCTATGTCAGATCCAGAGGTGTGTGAAAATAGCCCCTGAATCATTGAGATTGCCCCTAGGATCACATCAGTCCTGGCTATCTTCCCTCAGGGACCTCTGTAATTCTTTTTATTCATTCTATACATAAAACATAACTTAGGTCCACAGGACATTCCTGAAAAGGGGACAATTTTTCAAGGTTTGAAGCTACATCAGACAACACTTTATTCCAGAATTAAAACTGATAACTAAGGCTCTGGATTGAATCAATTTCTCTGTTACAAATAGGGGTAAACAAATGCTGGTAAAAGTCTCTTCCATATGGGCTCCAATTTCACAACAACTTTTTTCTGGTGCATATCAACAGTAATAATGACCTCCAGCTAACAGCTAGAACATAAAACTTGCCATGGTGATACTATAAAGTTGGCAAAGAAGTTTACGCATACTACTTCAGATGCAATTTTAGACAGTTCAAATTTTTAAAATATATGTATCTCACAAAGACATGTGGCAGAAACTATAAAGTGCCTTACAATCTTGATTTACGAGAACTAGCATACATTAAAGAAACTTTTATGCAATGGCATATTTGTACACTAAGGGTGAGTGGTGTGGGACGGGGGCAATGGTGGAAAAATAAAACTAAAGTCAAGAATTAACATTAGCTTAGCAAATTATTTTTATGACAGCATGCTCTAGAGTGAGAGCACACTAAAAGAACTAGGTCAGGTTAAAGAAATCTCTAGCTTACTAACTGTAATGTCATAGAATCATAGAATAGCAGAATTGGAAGGGGCCATGAAGGCGATCGAGTCCAACCCCCTGCTGTTGCAGGACACCATGTTACACCATCCCACTCAGATGGCTGTCCAGTTTCTTTTTGAATGTCTCTAGTGTGGGAGAGCCCACCACCTCTCTAGGCAGCTGACTCCACTGTTCTATTGCTCTGACAGTGAGGAAGTTTTTCCAAATGTCCAGCCTGAATCTGGGTTGTCACAACTTGAATCAGGAAGCACTTCCTGACAGTCAGGACCCCAAGGGTGTGGAATGGGCTTCCACGAGAGGTCGTTGAGGCCCCACTGGTGCGGGTGTTCAAGGATGGGCTTGACGTCCACATGGTGGGCATGTCGTGAGCGGAGCTGGCTGGTGCCGGAGGTCAGACTAGATGGCCCCGGAGACCCCTTCTGACTCGCTCTGTTTTCTATGTTTCTATGATTATTCTGCGTCCTACACTCTGGCATCTGTCCTTGAAAATGTTGCTGTTTAGTCTCTCCCTAAGTCTGTCAGCTTCCCTCTCTCAAAATTTCTAATAGCTGAAACTGTTTTTAAAGCAGCCACACATTCAACAGCAAACTCAGATAGTTGAATGCCTATGTATATGGAAGCAAAACAGGGCAACCCAAATATAAGATAGCAGTTTCTACATATTTGGGAAGTTTGTCAATTCAAAGAAAACAATAGGAATCTGTGAGCTTACAGAATTTTGATGGTGGTTGAGCCTAGAGAAAGGGAGAGGATGGAATGTCGAACGCTGGTGTAGTGGTTAAGAGCACAGGACTGGGACTCAGGCAATCTGGGTTCTAGTCCCCGCTCAGCCATGGAGCCAACAGGGTGACTTTGAGCTATTCACAGACTCTCAGCCCTACCTACCTTACAGGTTTGTTGTTGTGGGGATAAAACTGAGAGCAGGAGGAGAATTATGTAAGCTGCTTCGAATACTTTTAAAAAGAAAAAAAGGAGATACATAAATCAAATAAATTTTAAAAATTGCCTTTAGCCAGTAAACTTCAACAGTTTATCAAAGTCTAAGGCCGAACGGATCAGGAAACAGAATGCTGATTAATTGAAAACAAAGGCAAAAAAGAAAACCTTGACAGTAGGACCTTGACAGTCCTGGAATGATGACATTAGGGTTGAAGAAATGTTTTTGACATCTCTAGAAGTCTGTGTTCCTTGCAATATTGCTATATAATCCTCAGTTTGGGTCAAGGACTCTCTAAAGCTATAAAACAGAAGAGTGGAGGGTCTAGGGAAGGGAGAGATTTTAAAGAAGTGCTCCTTATCCCACCTCCACTGCTGAAAGTCCTTCTTCAAATAGAACTATAACGTTTCTTTTCCAGGCTGTCTGAAGCTATGAGCAGAAGGACTCCTTTCACAGGTGGTAATGTATGGTGATGTTTTCAGCAGTTTCCACTTGTTTCCTGTAAACAGTAAACTCATGTTTACTGTTGTATGTTGAAAGGTTTGGAATAAAAACTGGGTGACCAAGAAACAAGAGGGAAGTATTAGCATACTCAGGTGAACCCTGGAGGATGCTGAATTTCAAATCATTTTTCCTTGCCTCCAAAACAGCCCAATGAAAACAGAAGCTCCCAGGAGCCATGAAATATTGTTATTTCCAAAACTGAAAACAGGAGTAAGGAAGTTGAGCTGCTGTGATAAATACTGGTTTCAGGAGTTTTTGCATCTTTGTAAGCCTTCCATACTAACCAGCAAAATAGACTATCTTACAAACATATATCCAAAATAGAGACTTCCAGGATTTTCTCATAAGCAGTAATTTTCATAAACAATTTTCATAAAAGCAAATGGATTATTCGTAATTTGTATTTTGAATCAGTTTAATTCTAACACAGGCATTAATGCTGACATGCTGAACTTTTCATCAATTTAGGAGCCTGATGGGAAAAAAAATCAAAGGACAACTGAACTAGTGTCTGCATGTTGGCTTATGTGTAATTACAATTCAAAAAAGTGAACATGAAATATTCTAAAAAGCAAGCAGAACTAAGAAACCCTCCTATATCACTGCACAAATCAAAGATGGGATTGGGGGAGGGGTCTTTTTGCTATTATCTGAATCATGTAAGCAGCACTAATAAGGAATTATACAAACTGAGGGCAGAAATACTGAAACTTCAGAAGCAAACATCACCAGGAGATGCTATCTGTGTTCATGAGGGACCAAAACAGGTCTTAAGCTTCATTCTTAATGATATTTAAAAAGAACACAACTATTCTAGATAGGGATTAAACAGGACAATTGTTTCCAACACAAGGGCTGTTTGTTATTAAAATATCAATCACAACAGCCAGTTTATTTATTCATTTAAAACATTTGTATTGCACCTATTGCACCAGAGCATCTCTAGGTGGCTCACAATTAAGCGATTAAAACCAGTATAAAACTAAAACAACAACCACAGTCTTCTGCACTCTGATGTGCTCATGAATGAAGAATAAACTGTTCAGCTGCTCTGATATGTCACTTTGACACTTTGGAGGGGCTGCTACTGATTGTCACTTTTATGGCTACAAAAAGGAATTGTGCATTCTGGAAAAATGGAGAAGAGGGAAAAGCTGCAACAAGTGCAAATGGGCTTGTGGTTGGCAAGAGAAAGAATGAGCTAATGATGGTGGCTTCAAAGTGCTACTTGGGCCACTAGTAGAGCCCAAGCAAAGTCAAGAAGACACATGAGGGCTTTTTGCTGTTGGGACAATATGACAGGCTATCGTGGCTCTAACAAACCCTACCACAAGCCATGGGTTGTGCTACAAGCCACCCAATGGACATCAGTCTGGGTTTACACAATACAACAAGCTACCAAAGTTACATATACTGGGTTGATGGGTTGTGTAAACCCATGTGAAGCTCTCCCTTTGGAGAAATATTTACTTACGTACAAGAGGAACAAAAAAGGAGTAGAAAGGTTGCATACTACCAGGCAGCTTGTTTACACTGGGGCTTATTAAGCCAGGATTCTTAACTTATTAGGTGTGACTGCATACACTACCTCAGGAAAATTCAGCTCAAAATTCAGTAAGGAGAACAAAACGAAAGTTTTAAAGAAGTTATCAGCAGCAGCAGTAGCTTTCACAGACTTGAATTTTCTATATGAACACTGGGAATTTTTTCTGAATGAATGTAATACATAACAGCATTGCTGTGCATAAAGACAGTCACTGACTCATAAGACCTTAGCATTAAGGTAGTGTTAACGCACCCAGATCCAACTGAAGATATTAATATATTAAACTTGCAAAGAATAGACCAGAAATGTTCGTTGTTTTTTAAAAAAGAAATTCTTACAACATTAGTTTTTAAAAGCAACTGGACTGATACTCAAAACTGGCATTATAAGCTTGTCAAAATGAGAATATTTCATCCTATTTTCGTTTAATTATCTGACCTCAGGAAAGTAGAGACTGTAAACAGGATGGGTTATTTTTGATTTGGTTTCCAAGAGAGCCCGTTCCTTTCGCTGTATGCTTTGCTGTAATTCCTGCCATTCCTGATGGAAAGAGAAAAAGTATTCAGTGTTACTTGCTCTGCTCATTTATGACTTCTTTTAGAAAGTAATTTTCCAGCATGGTAGAGAAATAAAACTAGGAATGCAAAACATAACTGAATGGTACTGACATCCATGAAAATGCAAAAGGTGAGCTATTTTGAAATCAGTTCTTACCAGTTTATAACTGACCTCTTCCAATATATTCCCTAAACTATTGCAGTATTACAGTGAGAAATGACATGCTTCATAATTTAATAAACTGCAGTCAAGTGCTTGGATCTAATGCAGGCTATCCACTAGTGGAACAGAAACTGTTAATGGAATGCTGTTTCTCCTCTATTCTGCAGCCTGCACGTGCCCTTCAAATCTGCTACAGGGTTGTGGGAGGACACTCTTGAGCAGAGTTGGAGTGGGGAGCTACAGAAGAGAAAAGGAGAAGACAAGGAAAACCTGCTGTGCCAAAGAAGCTGCACTGGGTGGGGCAGACTTCTGTTCATGTGACTACTGGGCATGGTCAAATCCAGGGCATGGATTTCCTCAGTGTAACCTCTATTGCACTTTGTTTACAGCATTGACCAGTTTTCTCCGCATGTAAAGTTACATTATAAAAAGCAGCTTATGACGGAGACATATTGTAAATACACCTAATGTAGCCAGGCTTCTGGAATTCTACCTCTGGAACCAACTGCTTGCAACTTTATATGATGCAATCATACATACATACATACATACATACATACATACATACATATGCACAATCACAAGGCAGGATCTAGTTACTATTGTGAAGAAAGAAGAAGTTTCATCAGTGGAACAAGGGGCTGGGAACAACCCCCTGTATCCCACTGCCTCCATCCTCAAAATATGCTAAATATGCTGGGGCAGTACAGATGTCTGCAGAGTGGGAAAAGAGGAAGAAATCCCATTACACTAGGAGACTGCCATTAGCAGAATGCTTCCAGAGAGGAAAAGGATTGTAACCAATGGTATCATTCCACTGGGGACAAGCTTCTACTGCTTGAGAAAACCCATATTTATCCTTGCCCAAGTATCAAAGTCATTTAATTAATTCTGTCTGCACAAAGTATAACACAAGATGTTGAGACTTTATTAGGTTAGGTCTGCTAGTTGGTCTATTGGCACATGTGCAACTTCAAGGGAAGCACCAATCCATTACATTAATTTTTGCATTAGTGTAATGTTAGCTATAACTGATATTTTATATGAGGATTTATAAAGGAAGCTTATCCACTGTCAAGATGCAAATGCAAAAGCTTTTATGTTCCATCTATGTTCTTCTCAGTGTGCTCCACCAGGAAATAGTATTCCACCCTCGTTATGAACTGAGTGGGCCCTCTTAAAGATAATGAGGGGTTTTGCAAGGCACATCGTATCATTTCTCCTAGCCCCATGACAATGATAGTGTAGAATGAAATAAGGTGTGCCTTACAGCTTCATCATCTTTGTTTTGTTTCTCATCTTGTTCTCTGTCGGAGTCTCTATCACTTCCATCATCTTTGTCACTTAAGGAGTCTCTATTAGTATCATCCTCTTCAGATTCACTTCCTTTATCAGAAACTTCATCATCATCATCCTTGACAATTTCCTTTAAAAAGGACAACAAGATTCTTTTACATTTTAAATAAATACTCAGGAACTGTGGCACTGTCAGCTTAAGCTGTACTTGTGGATCTGTAAGTAGGTACAACGCTACACTTAAATTATCATACTGCAAGGATACTGTAGTTCTTACCATCTGTCCCATGCATGAGTCCTGTCAAAGCAACTCTTACAACAAGGCAGAACATGTCTATCTGTTAATCTACTCAAATAATGGCATCTTATCAAATGCTATCTAAAACAGAAAAGGGGACTTTGTTATAGTGCTTCAAATATCGTAATAAGACAAGTGAAGTAAAGTTGTCTTCACTAAACCCCAGAAATGATGCCCAATCACTGACATGTTTCCCAGAGGTGCTGGTTATCTGTTGATCATTACTGGGACCTAAACAAGGGTATCGGTGTCTAATAAGGATGAGGTGATTGTATATATAATAGTGTACAATTTGCAGGTCATTTGCTTGCCTTTACTGACTATCTCATTTTTGGGGGAAAGAGATTCAAATACTGCTCTGTTATTTCCTGGAATTTTAAGGCAGTGCTCTTCATTGAACATCCTATTAAACCCAATAGCAAGGCTGTCCCCTCAGATATGCTGATACATACACTCCCAGCTACCCCATTTGCTTGCTTTTGTTTCTGCTGTTTTGTTGGTGGCAGAGGGACAGGGGCAGGCTTCTTCTTCACAGGCTTTTTCTTCTTTGATTTTGAAGCCTTCTTTGCTCCTTTAGTCTTTTGTTGCCATCCTTTGTTCTTCATTTTGTTAGCATCTCCTTGCTGTAAAGTTAAAAAGTAAGGTTTAACATTATGAAATATTAAGCTACTTCAGTGTAAGCTGCATGAAAAATGACCTAAGTGTCAGAACAGCCAACCTCAAGAAAGAGCCTTTGTATTGTAGTAAGATAATAACTGGTGAGAAACCACAAGTGCCAGGTCACCTGTAGCTCTGCTCCAAGCATTCTGCTTAAGAGCAACAGTTCTGGGAAAGCTGGCTAACACATGCTACAAGACAGCTCAGCAAAAGTGAAGCCAAGGTATGGGTGAAGAAAGTTGAATATGATAGAAGCAACACCCTGACAATCATTTATTTATTTATAACAATTATATACTACCTTCCAATCTAGTCCCCTGGATAGTTTACAAAAAATTAAAGTCACAAACAATAAAGCCCAGACTTTGAATAAAGTCCCTTCCACATGACAACTGGATCAATAAACTGACCCTGAAAAATCACACCAAGGATGAAAAACAACTGAACATTGACCTTGAACAGTTTAGAAATGCCTGCTGTATTTGGGATTTTGCAAAGGTAGCATAGCTCCTACATTTTCTGAGACTGTGCTCATTGTTCCAATGGTGGAAGGGCCCAGGGACAGGGAGCCTCCACAAGGCATTTATGCAAGTGAAAGTAAAGAAAGCTTCTCACATAGTTAGATTTCCTTGTTATATCTTCAAGATGACTACCAGGACATCACAGAGTTATAGCACAATCACTCAAACTATTTTTGCATAACTTACACCATCCTCTAAAGGCTGCTCTTCAGCTGAACAGGTTGACTGTTCTTTCTCAAACACTTCCTGAATGGAGTAGAAGGGAAAGAAAGGCTGTTAGTCTCCCTACAGCAACAATGTGAAAGTACATCAATTTAATAGTATGACTATTACAGGAAGCTCACACCTCCACATACAGCAATTATTAACAGAGGGAGGCATTCATAAAAATAGTCAATCTGGACAATAGTCAAGGCATCTGGGATCTTTTGTTATTTACTGGAACCTCAAAGTTCACCAACTGGAGCCAGATATGAAACAGTAGCTTGGGGCAGATGCACACTTACAAAAATTATGGGACAGGATACCTCTCAGTAAAAATCAATTCCCGATGTGTTTCCCACCCCAGCTCTTCACTTTAGCAGACTAACATGTTGTGTTACTGTGTTGCTGCTGTTGTAAGAACAACTGAGAATCAGAAGATTTTGTATAACTACTGCAAATCACCACTGGCCCATCAACAGATTCTGATCTACTTTCTGTGCATCTTGATCTAGAAAATCAGATAATCAATATTCAAACATCCATCTATATGCATTAGGGCAAAACAGTGCAGAGGCATCCTAGAATTTGCTAGTCCTATATACACCATTTTCAGCCTTCAGAAATGGACCCAAAGAGAGATTTTAAGTATGTTCAGCTGAATGTACACAAATGCACTAGGGGGAGGGCTAGCACACACAATCCCATGAACCCTGCACAATCTGTCCCTTCAGATCAGCAACATATCCGAACACAACTTAAAATGAACACAAGAACACTCACTGTCATTGTCTGTCTTGTTAGAGTGACCAGAACTGTGACTAGTGATCCTACTGTAATGTTGTTGCTGTCTTCATCATCCAACACTGAAGTGAAGGGAACAAGAAGGATATATCCATTTACATTGGTTCCATAATTACACCAACCTATCATGAACAGGCTTTACTAAACTAATACTGTACTTAACTTTGCCGAACAACATCTTAAAACTCTGAAAATGTTTTCAGTTGAAACCCTCACTTCCACTTTTAACTACCCATCCCTTTGTATGATAAAACTCACAAGTTCTTCAGGATAAAATGGAAGCAACTGCATATTGGGAGGTGGAGCGGGCTGCCCAATGCAAAAGGAAAAGGCTCGCATTTTATAAAAAATATCTTCTGATTTTTAATCTTAATGTTAATAACAAAGCATTCAAACATTTGAGCGAGGTTATAAATTTCTAAGTCATCTTTTATATTAGTCTGAATGAATTGAATTAGTCTGAATTGTTGAACAGGCCAAAACCAGAGGGATATACATGCACTAGAGCTACTTATAATCCATGGATGGGTCCAGAAGCATATACCTAATTAATACTTTGCAGATTTCCCCAATCAACTTCTGCTAACTGAACCCACAAATAAGTTTCACACACAGCTTTTTAGCATTGGGTTATGCCCAAGGGTGACGAAAGGCAAACTTTTACAAGCACTGTACATGAACTGCAGCCCCCTCAAGCACATTTACTTCTTTGGAACGCATCAGATTTAAAGCAGTTTGGTAGTTTAAGACAGGACAAACCAAAAAGGAGATTTAAATAAATCTAGTTGAACTTAGGGTCTGTAGTCTAACTTATCTGGAGACACCATCTTGTGGGAGGCTGCTCTGGATCATTATCCATTTTCCAAATAAAAATAGCAAACTAGCCTAATGTAAACTGTAAAATTTAGAGGCTGATTGCATTGCAAGCCAGTTTGGAATGCAATTTCATTCTAAGTCCTTGAATTTAACCAAAAATTGCAAACCATACTATGTACAGCTGTCATCTGATTAATCAAATCAATTCTATTAATCAAAACAATTCTAATCAATTAATCAATCAAACAATCTATCAACTCTTAAGAAAAAACATCCTACAGAAAAACCTAGCTTTTAGATAATCAATGCACACTTTGCAGCACATCTTAAAGCAGGAGAGGGCAACTTCAGGGGCTTCCTGGGGCAATTTAAACCCCCTGAGGGTTGTACCACCACCACCTACCATCTGCAGTAACAGCAGCAAAAACTCAACAGTATGCTACCAAATTTTAGTGGAAAACCATGACACTGGTCTAAAATGCTGGATTTAACTTCAAAACAAGGGACATGACTAAACTGAAGCTGTATTTAGTCTTTTTTGGCCACTAGAGTTTGCTATCAAAATTCAGCAGCAAACTACCAATTATTTTGCTACTGCTGCAGCATATTCAAGAAGTCACACACTTCAGATCAGAGGAAGGATGTGTTGCCCACCTCTGCCTTAAAAGTACTTCCTCTCTCACATACAAATGAGCTCCCCAAGATATCTTAGGGATGGTAGGAGCCAAACCTGTATTATTCTTCATGCAAAGCATTTCCAGAGCTGCAGTTCATAACCCTCAGAGGTACTTGAAGCATGTCATAGTGAAACAGAGACCAGATCCTTCTGGATAAACAAAGAGTGGCCTGACAATATGGAGGTATGTTTTCTACTTACTGGCACTCTATGAGAGGAAAGTTGCTAATCCAGGAAAACCTGAAATCCCTGAAGGCTGATCAATGTAATCATTTTAAGATACCGGTAACTACACCATGGTTACTTACTAAATAACCAGGACAGCAAACATGCGGAACAGCAATACCACCTACCCTGGGGTTTTATATCCATGGTGATATGTGGAAAACTACCAAGAACAGCCATAACCTCTTCATATTTTTCATCTTCAAGGAAGTGCAATAAATTGTGACGATCTGATGCTTTTAAACTCACCAAGTCTTGAATAGTTTTGATTTTATACTGGGTTGAAAAACAGAACAAAGGATCTATTTTATTTTGAGAAAACACAGTATTACCCATGTAATGGAGTTAGAAAACCTTTAAAATATTATATTTGATCTAAATTAATGTTTTAAATAACTGCTACTTAAACAGGAACATTACATCAATAAGGAAAAAACTTCTGCAAAACCAATTTAAAAAATGGAAGTGAGGTAGCAACCATTCAGATTATGCCTGATATAAAATGTTGTCTGTATGCCAGCACAATGGAAACTGCTGGTGGAACAGATTTCCCCTCTCTTTGCAGCCACCAGGGAATTCATGGGAATTCATCTGATTCACTGTCTAGATCCAGCCCACAAGCATCTTCCCCAGATCCAGCCCTCTCTCCTGGCCCAGAAAAGCTTTTATCTCTGTCAGCAGTTTTTCCCCAGGACAAGTTCTTTTCCTTTCTGTGTATTAAGAAAAGGAGTTTGTGATAGTGCGCAGCAGGGAAATGCTCTTATCTTCTGTTAGCTGCTGATCAGAGATAAGAACTTTTCCTACAGGCAGGTGTTGGACAGGGCCTGGGAACAAAATTGCAGAGTGGTTCAGTATTGCTTATTTTTAATTAGTCATGCAGAGGCTTGGCCCTTGAGTTACAATTGAAAGTGCTGCTGAGTGAGTCCTCCTGCTTACCTGTAGACAGAAATGTATCAGCCTGTCCTGCTTACTTCCAAACAGACAAGTAGAACCATTGTTTTGCTTACTTCTTGGTAGGCTTAAAATCAATAAAAAACACATTTGGGCCTTGACCACAGATGAAATGGGACCTCAGAGACTTTTCCTAGATTAGAATTCAGACTTCTTCATCCCTACTTTGGGGACTTACTTAAGGTGAGAGGAAAGATGAGGAAGAGGAAGTCCAATTGTGCAAGTGGAAGTCCACCTGAGTTGTTCTTTGGAGGCAAGTCCAGCTTGCACAGGAGCTCCACTCACTAGACCATTCATCCTCCCCATACTTATAGTGAGGTGCAGAAGAGAGCAAGGGGAACACATGACTGCATACCCTTGGCAAGTTTGACAGAAGATAAAAGACCTTTTTCTTAACACTTACTTTTATCATTACAAAGAAATAACAATAAAACATCTAAACAGATATCTGCACCAAACTAACTGTAACGCCTTGGCAGAGTGGGAGCAGAAGATGGTAAAATGGCTTCCTTTTCCACATGCAGTCTTCCAGTTTCATGCAAGATCCTCATCTCCAGGCAAGACAGTCCCAACAACAGTGAGCTTTTCATATTTTTCACTCTACCTTTTTTAGCCCCTGAGCAATGCCAATTACTAGATTAGTAAAAGTCACAGCAAACAAAAGTGACACCTACTTTACTACAGACAGAGCTGTGGCAAGAGAAGGTAACACTTCGTGCCACTCTTGCTTTCTGACATTTGGCACCCACTTGGCATTACATGACACAAAGTGGTAACAACAGCACAAGAGAGCAGTTACTGCTGCTACCACCTTATTAGAGGTGAATGGCTGGCTTATCTAGGAGATGTGAAAAGAGTTGTTTCCTAAATGCTGCAGTAATTGCTTATTAGCCTGTCCTACAGTTCAAAATGTTTAAGATCACAGCTCCCATCAGCTCCAGCAAGCATGACCAATGGACTGTGATTGTGAAACATTCAATCTAAAATATCTGGAGGACCCTGCAGCTTGCTGGCTACTATTGCACAATCTTGCAATGCAAGCCTTTTAGAGAAGAGCATGTACAACCGGAGACTTACTAAACAGATGCTCTGAAAGTTGCAGACAGACCAAGTTAGTTTTAAGATGATACAGATTAATCTCAGTGTGTTACCTTTTTATGATTAGAGACACGTCTGAGATTGTCCTCTTCAATATGTGGGAGTTGCAATAACGGAGACTTAAATTGCTGGAGCCCTTGGACAGTCATCTGTGAAAGTTTCATGCAGTTTTCCAGAGAACCCAATGACGGTGCACGGAACTCCCTTTCTGAGGGAGGAGGAGGAGACAAATATGCTACATGCAACTGTCAGTCTGAATTTACAGCAACAATACAAGAAAAGCTTTTGATAAAAGAAACAAGTAATCTGATTACCCTAAGATGATATTGTCACAAAAAGGGAAATTCTTCTTAAAATACTGTCCTGTGTTGCATATTAAATTATACTGCTTCAATACACTTAAGTATCACTAGTGTTATTTTTCCCCAAGCTCACAAAATTTAGATAAACCAACAACAGGCTTAAAGAGAACATTTTCTAGAATACCAATACTGCCAAAAAGAATTCCAAGTTTCTTTTCCTTTATATATCAGTTACTTGTCCCCAGTAGGTAAATTGTTTTTGTAATAAAATCTCTGTGGCTCCTGACTACAAGCTCCGAAGCAGAATTCTGCATATTCTGGAGGTTTCACAAAAATATAAAAGAATAATTTCACTAATTGGCATATAATAAAGCTTATTCCTTACCTTCACGGCTACGTGCCATAATTATTAGTTGGCAGATTACATTAACCATTTCTTGAAGCAAAGCAGGGCACTTTTTCAAAACAAACTGCTGATCTACAATGCATAAGAGAGAACTCCCATGTGTAAGACCAATACAGCAAATGACTGTAACCATTTCTTGTCTCATGCTTTGTTTTATTGTTAAGACAGCTGTTAACAGAATCTTGTTCTGTGCTCCTATGGCTTCCATCCCACATCATAAGAATGATCTGTTCACATAATACAACTTCACCTCCACCTACTTCCACATGCACCACCTACAGATTTGCTCTGGATGGTCCACCAACCTTTCAGAGCAACATTTAGGGAGCATGTAGTTGCAGGCGGATTCTATACAACTGATGTTGTCTATTTAATTAGCAAGACACTGCTATATTTCACGAGATGTTTATAACCATAATTCTGATAAATAAGACAAGACATGCAGATGCACTTCTACTCATACACAACCCCATTGCTGCCACTTTGTTCCTTTGTGAGAGCACTGAAACAAACCAGGAAGCAACACGCGTTAAGCTGGGACCCAGGAGATCCAGGATCTAGTTAGTCCTCCCTTGGGCATGAAACTTACTGGGTGACTTTGAGCCAGGGATGATTCTCAACCTCACCTACCTCACAGGGATGAAGATAAAATAGAGAGAAGGAAGAGAATTGAGTAAGCTGCCTTCCTCAAGAAAAGAAAAGAAAAGAAAAGAAAAGAAAAGAAAAGAAAAGAAAAGAGAGGAGAGGAGAGGAGAGGAGAGGAGAGGAGAGGAGAGGAGAGGAGAGGAGAGGAGAGGAGAGATAATTGTAATAATATTTGCAAACTGGTTCTTTTAATGGCTTCCACAAAAGCTAGATAAGGAGGCTAAATTTAAGCCTTGGAAGGGGGAGCAAAGCAGAACTTGTACACTCGCTGGTGTAAAGATTTGAATGGTTGGATCAGGCCTATGCCTGAATATGCGCTTGTGCCCTATTCCACACACCCAACTTCTGCAACCTATTAGCAGCTGAAACAACATTCTTCATCCTTTTCACATAAAGCTGAAATGGAATCTAATGACAGATATTTATTATATGTACTTTTCTCTCCTGCCTTTAGGGAATGGGTCCTGGTCTTTGGGCCACGCATACTGCTGGGTTCTAACACTCAACCTCTCCAACCAACAAGACCTATGGTCAGCAGTGATGGGAGATGTAGCCCAACATTCAGGACTACAAAGTTGGAATAAGTGTTCTATAATAGCCAGAAAGACATGAGGGAATTCTAGATGATACAGCTTGTTTTGCATAAAATTTCTTGCTGAAATTCACTTTTTGCTGTTCAAACAAAAATGAGCTCAATCTTTTATTTTTTATAGCCTTGCTTCCATGTTTTTACAACTCTTTTGCCAACTTTGCTCCCCCAACACCCTTTGTCCTTGATTTTAAAAAGCCAACCAACCAACAAAAAAAATATGGTAATGATATTAGCAATGGAATCATTCCACTAGTGGATCACCATATACCTATTTAAACTCAATGCCCTTGAGAGCCCAAACAACAGAACCAAAGATCAAGCTATACAGACAGAAGCAGGTTTGCTTTTCATTGGCTGAAGTTAGCAAAAACAGAGGGGAAAAGATCCAAGCACAATGGTGGCCCTGAATATGCCATTTTATGTTCTTCTGATAAAGTTAATGGCTGCTATGCTGAAAAGATAACTGGGCCATTGCAAGACAATACTAAGGTGATAGCCACTATCAACTCTGTAGGTGGAAAGTCCCTCTTTACTGTTCCGAAAGCCATTTTAGGGTTATGAAAGACTAAACGTATTTGGAACACTTATTTAACCTTGACCCCTTCCTCAAAAAATGCAGAAGGTGAGTTGAAGAATGTGGGGGGAGGGGCACTGTTAATGAGTTTGTGGCACCCTATATATAAACCTGCCAAAAATATTTTGTTCCAGAATGGCTTATTATGAATTGCTTAAATTCATGTAAATGCTTGCCATTACCAGCATGTGTGCATTCTGCAATTCTAAGCAAGTGTGAGGAAAGGGAAGCTGTGTGTAGAACTGAGCCACCTCCATAACAGTTGCCTGTTTGTTCTGCTTCTGATAAAGCTTATCTTCGGTTCTGATGGTTGCAAATAGATGTTTGGAAGTAGATAATCAAACAGTTGATTGCAACTTCAGAAGCCACAGAGACCATTAAGGTACTCCGGTAAAAAGACATGGTTTCAAGTGCCTTGCATGGTTCTCAGAACTAGAAACAGCACAATATATCACACAAGATAAGTAAATTAGGCAAAGCCCTTTAACTTGCATAATTCACCAGTTTGCAGACTTTTGCTTTTCTTGATGTAAGATTTAGATCTTTGGGTGTGAGTGTGAGAGAGTAATTTTTTTGGACAACAGCTATACCTCTTTGGTCATAGAAACCATGAGAAATTAATCAGATTCACCTAACATTTAAAAAAAATAACTTGTAAAATCCATTTCAAAAGCTAATTGTACTGGTACACCATCACAGTTTCTAAAGCACAGTACCTTGTTCAAGTGTCTCAGGAATTTTCATTCTGGCAAGATGAGCCAGTAAGAGCACTCTGGCTTTCAAGCTATATGGACAGGTAAGTGGAGGTTCATTTTTCTTTAAATTAATGCTTCCAATTTCTCTGATAAGCTAAAACAAAAAAAGAAGAGGTTAATGAAAGGACATTTTGATGACAATAATATACTTAAATACTGTTCAGTAATAGCAAACCTGTGGTATTTGAATGTTGTCTACAGGTCGGCTTGTTGCATCTTTATTATACTGAGGATCAAATTCAGATGCTCCTGCTAAAACCATTATAAGCCCTGTAGAGAAAACCAGAATATAAATGCTAAGTAAGCATATTCAAAAATACATGAGGAAGTTCTCAAACAGACACAAGTGTTTTTCTACCATCACGTCCCTCTTCAATTACTTGTCAAGGAATAAATGATTGTAGTCTTCCCGAGTGTCCCTAAACAAAGATAACTCACTAAACAGTAGACACACCAATAGAAACAAAGGCCAAATGTGCTTGCTTTGCAGCACAATGTTCTGCATCTGTATTTAGAGTTACTCCCTTGGAAGCTTTACAGTCCCCAGTGGGATGGGAAGCTGAGAAAAGCAAAGGAGCCTTCAAAAATTATGGATTCGTTTCAGTCCTCATAAGATTGATGTGCATTATTTCTGCATGCAACACAGTAACTAATCCACTTCTCTTCACCACCATAAAGTAATCTTAATAGTATCAGAAGTGTATCTTCCTTACATTCAGCCCTCAAAGAATTCACTCTATCTATGCTTTCTTCTACTGGTGCCCAGTTTGCTATAATACTGCACTCCAACATCATCATTTTCAAGACTATTTTCAGCCAGTTTGCCACAGACTAGCAGAAGACTGCCAGCTGTTTTAATAAGGAAAATAAAGTCAAATTGAGAAGTTTTATCCAATACTCATGATTGTTAACCAGTGCCTAGTAGAGGGGAATTAGTATTTAGAAGTGATTTTTCTATTAATGTAATGCCAAACAGCATTTGCTTTTTGCAGCCACTCCACACTGTTGGCTAGCATGCAGCTAGTGAACTACAACAATTCCAAGATCCTTCTCACTTGTAGTATTGTTGAGCTAAGTATTCCCCATCTTGCAACGATGCATTTAATTTCACTTTGCTAGGTGTAGAACTTGGCATTTGTCCCTATTAAACATCATTCTGCTGTTTTCAGCCCAGTGCTCCACGCTATCAAGATGACTCTGAATGTTGTTTCTGTCTTCTACAATATTAACTATTCCACCCAATTTTGTGTCATCTGCAAATTTTATACATATTCCCTGCACCTCCTCATCCAAGTCATTCATAAAAATGTTGAAGAGCACTGGGTCCATCATCATCTGGGATCCAAGTTCGGAACAGGCTGCCCTGAAGTAATCTGAGAATACATTACAGAAAGTTCTATGTATGTAAAACTTGCTAAAAACCATAATCTAAAGGTGCTGGCACACCAGAGCATATTATTTTTATCACTAAAGAACTTGAGTACAGATTGTATCAATTCATCCTTTCAAGTTTAACTTACTTTTCATATCCATATTTCTTGTTTTATACACAAAATAAGTATAAATTTGAGTTGTGCGAATGAGAATCTGGTCTCCACTGTAACGTATTGATCGATACCACCAGGATCCCTAAAACATTTAAGATAGAAAAGTTGGGATTATTAATGTCATACACAGACAATAAAAATAATTTAGGACAGATGTAACATTCCAGTTCCAACAGTCCATGAAAAAGTACATTCTGCTTGCAATATGATAGTTAAGGCCTGCTCAAGTCACTGACATTTTGGCAGTTCTATCTAGTTGAGATGTCTTATCTTTTAATCCTTGAAGTTATAAGAATCTGAGATTTAGACATGTGTCCAGTGCCCTCAACAGATTATCAGCCCTGGAGGCAGAACATGAATGCATCACGCCTATGCCTGGGGAAGCAGACAAAACTGAAAGCAATATAGATGATAAAACAAGATCTATCTATCAGAAAATACAGCAGACTGCTAGACCTCCCGAGTGGAGCACATAGTGATTTTCATTCTACATCGTCCAGCAAATAAAAATGTAACTAATTCATGTAACATCAATCTAAAGAAAGCTCCCATTGGTACCCATTTAAAGCGCTATAGTACAAAATTTGTAGAAATACTATCTTTGCACATTCTTGAACATTCAGATCCCTTTTTGTGACCATCTTTGGGTTCCAGCCATTGTCTTTTGGCCAGAAATGGAAACTAAAGCCTTTCACAACAAAAACTGCAATCTCCAAAAGCTAAAAGGTTCTGAATTGTTATAGTCCAGGAGTGGCCAAATGGAGGCTTAGGAGCCGCATGGGGCTCTTTATTCTGAGTTTGCTGCTCACTGCTTCCTGCAGGCGCCTGCTTGCTGTTTGCTACCTGTGGCTGCCGCCCACTAACACCCACTTGAGGCACTCAAACATCTGACATTTACTGTATACTCTTCAGTTAAGCAAGTCTGGCCACCCCTGATATAGTCAGGCTTTAAACTTGTCACAAAATGTCAGAACAGTTAGGATGCAACAACTTACTCAATAAGCATAGTTTAACTTATAGGGCCGATAAATTACCAGCAGACTTTATGTAGGAGAAGCGGTTGTGAGCCCAGGGCTTTGGCATTCCCTTATTTACCAAAATGTATCATTTCTTTTTCATTTTGTTTTAAAGCCATACTTACTACAACTACTGGAAGAATAACCATAAATGCTAATCCATAAACCAGCAAAACCTGGAAAGAAAGAAAGAATATTGTGAAGTTCCTGACAAAGTTACAAATAATTATTGACGTAGAGCTATTGAAGTCATCACCAATATAGCCAACTGCTAAGATGCTTTAAAGGCACAACCTCAAAGCAACAGAGCAAGAATTTCAGAAAGCAACGAAGCAAGAACTTCAGCTATCAAGACTTTTTAAGATGTTGAAAGCTGCCATATCTTTTTCTAGTAGCCTATTTTAAGTGAGCTCTTCTGCTCCTGGACAACTGTGAAAGATGATCACCCTGCAGACATGAGAACAGTTATCCATGATATCATAACAAGTTGCCAACTAAACTGTCTTGAACGCATGTATTGCTTGTGTTGTTTTGTTTAAATAATCAAAGCAAAGGAAGACAAGAAATAAATATTGCATTTGAAGTTCAAAGCACATTCAAATATGGCACAAAACAATTATTTCAGTAACTCCAAAAAATCAAATCTGTTTTACACTTTCAGATTTTCAGAACTTGAAAATGTAAGGAGTGAAAGTGTGAAGTCAGCTGGGTATTTTAACCATTGTTTTTGTTGATTAGGTTCTGTTTTGAAACATCCAATAAAAATACATTTTAAACCCTCTTGCTTTTAAAAAGCAGTGTCCTCCAGAATAGGTAGCATTTACCCGTTTGTCTGAACATGGAGTAAGAGGCCAACATAAGGTAGCTATACAGGTACAGGTTTCCCCTTGACATTAAAGTCCTGTCATGTCTGACTCTAGGGAGCAGTGCTCATCTCTGTTTCCTAGCCGAGGCAGCCAGCCTTTGCCCGCAGACAGACTCCATGGTCATGTGCGGGCATGACTAAACACCGAAGTGCACGGAATGCTGTTATCTTCCCACCGAAGTGGTACCTTTCTATCTACTTGCATTTGCATGCTTTCAAACCACAAGGCTGGCAGGAGCTGGGACAGAGCAACAGGAACTCACCCCATTGTGCAGACTCAAACCGGCAACATTTCGATCTACCAGACCAGCAGCACAGCAGTTTAAACCACTGCGCCACCTGCATCCCTGTAAGGTAGCTATAAGGAATCCCTAAGTGTAGGAGATGAAAAATTTCATTGCACCTTAAGGTTAAACTTCCCCCAAGTTTAGCATTTGGATTCTTCCATCTTAACTCTACAGTATATCTCATGAAATTGGTTATTTTAAGTCTTTTTATTTGTTTTCAGAACAAATAAATGAAGGAAAAAAATACAATGCAGGAAAAAAAGAAGGATGAGCAGGAGCAAGAGGAGGGAGCCAAGGGCTGTTCTAAGGATTTAACAAGCAACTCTTCATTTAAGCACATTTACAATAGACAAAGGTCTATCAACCATTCTTCCATTCCACCCATTTAATTCTCAATCATATATTTATAGTTACAAATCTCAGCATTGCTTTGGTACTGATGGTAATCACAATGATTTGTATAAATTAGGTTTTCTTTAGTCATTATTTAAATTGTTCAAAGTAGATCTTCCATCTTTAAAGTACATTCTTTAACTGGCCTTCTGCTGACATAACTTGTTAGCTTTACCATTGTTGGATACTCGGCTAGCTTGTTTTTCCAATCTTCAACAGCTATGCTAACTTCAGTTTTCCACTTTGAAGCAATTATCACTCTTGTTAGAGTAATAATATATTTATATAATTCTGACATAACCTTTGGAATAGTCCCTGGGACAATACAATAACATGTTCTTGGCATTTACTGGAAAGTCAATTCTGAGTATTTTCTGCATCTCAGCATGTACCCACTTCCAAAATTTTTTTATTCCATCACATGTCCACCACATATGATAAAATGTTCCATTTATCTCTTGCATTTCTAACATTTTCCATTATACTTCTTGTCCATTTTCTGCATCTTTTTCAGGGTACTATACTGCCGGAAATACATCTTATACCAGTTTTCTCTTAGTGGTTGATATGCGGTGAATTTTATGTACGTTATCCATAAGATATCCCATTGGCAGGCCAGTATTTCTTCTTCAAGATTCTACATCCAGCTCTTCATGCATATTTTGTCTTGTTGAGTCTCAGTATTTTATCTAAGCAATTGTTTATAAATACATCCTAAGCGATGCTCAGACTGATTTTTAATTATGAATTCAAATTCCATCAGATTTCTTATAATGACTTTTCCAGTTTGAATTTCCTTTCTTGACCTTGAGGCCAGCTAATGATAAAGAAGCCACTCTAGGTTTATTTCTTTCATCTTTTAATTCTTGCCATGCCTTAATTCGCCCTTGTTCATTGATCGTATCTCCATACGTTGCAAGATTGTTGTTTTTCCTAGAATGTTTTCCACAGTATGCTTCTACTGGGGACGTTATAGAAGAAATTAGAGGGCTAATTCTTCTACTCATGGAGTGCCAAATTTTTACTAAACTGTCTCTAAATACATGACTATTATTTGGAGTCGATACTTTTTTTGATTCTTTTGCCCATAGTTGATTGTCTATTTTTTCTTCTAGGTCTGCAATTTCTAATTTCATTAATCTTTCACTGAAGTTAAAAATCCAGTCTGTGATCCATACTAGGTCTGCCGCATAATAGTATAATTTGATGTTTGGTACTGCAAGTTCTCTTTTTCATCTTGTAGTACTTTAAATCTGATCCTTGGGTTCTCACCATTCCAAATAAATGCATTCAATTTTCTTTACCATTCTTTTACATTTTTCCTGCATTGTAACTGGTAACATCTGAAGCAAAAATTCAGTTTTGGTAATACATCCATTTTTATGATGGAACTGTTAGTTTAGACCATATCTGTAAGTCCTTCAGAATCTTTATCCAAGCTGTTCCATAATTATCTTGAAATAATTATAGTTTCCTGTCAGCTTTATTCCTAAATACTTAACTGTATTTGAATTTATTTCATATACTAATTTTTTTTTAAAAAAATCCTCGTTTCATTAAAAACTTCAATATAATTTTTGTTTTCTTCTTACTGATTGTATAATCAGAATATCCTTTTTTCAATTTTATCTATTATTTGTTGTATAGATAAGTGTGGGTTTGAGGTGGTCAACACTATATCATCTGCATGCCTTTTCATTTTCATTTCTCCTCCTTCAATTTTAAACCATTTATGTCTGGGTCCTGTAAAATTTTATTAACTAAAAATTCCACTACCAATAAAACTGGAGATAGTGGACATCCTTGACAGGTCCCCTTTCCAATTAGAAAACTTACAGTTAACCTTCCATTTATGAGGATCTTTGTATGTTGCTTAGTGTAAATTACTTGGATCCAGTTCATAAATCTCAGACCGCAGTCTAAGTATTTAAGAATTTTCAACTAAAAGGACTAAGGCATGTTATCTTAGGCTTTTTTCTGCATCTAGGAAATGCTGCCTTCTACTACTACTACTTCTTGATAATGGTTTTCAGCCATTAAGACTGGAGCAAGGCAGGATCATTGCCTTCTTTGTATATCAATGTTATATGAGTTTCTTGCCATGATTTAGGTAATGACATCTCATCTTTTATTTCCTTCATTACTTTTTGGAATGGTAACATTAATTTTTTTTCTAGACACTTAATACATTGTGGAGATACCACCTGGTCCAGGTGTCTTGTTTTTTAGTCTTTTAATTGCTTGTGAAATCTCTTATATGATATTAGGACCATTTAGCATTCTTCTTTGATCTGATATAAATTTATCAATTTGGACTTCCTCTATATCAGGGGTCTCAAACTCGAGGCCCGTGGGACGATATTTTGTGGCCCCCACTCGATATCAAAGTTTAGTGATAGTGCGGCCCACGCGTTTATCTCACACGCACCTGCGTGAGTCATTACCCTGGGCGCAATGTTCCCTCTAAGCTACGCGCCGGGACGGGCGGGGCATGGGCCCTGCGGCCTTCAAAGCGCCAGCGGTGCCCGGGCCGGCCTCCGGGAGCAGCGCAGGATGAGTGGCCCACAACCACCGCAGTGGTCGGCCTTGGGAGGCAGCAGTGGTGGTGGGCCGCTCATCCCGTGTCGCTCCCAGAGGCCGGCCTGGGTGCCGCCGGTGCTTTGAAGGCCGCCGGGCCCCTCCCCCGTGCTCCGCCCATCCCGGCACGCAGCTTAGAGGGAACATTGCCTGGGCGCTATATATTTTTTGTCACCT